CTGTAGGACTCAGCTCAGGATTTGGACCAATAAAAACTATAACCATTATGGTTATTAGAAGGATGTCCTCATTCTTGGGAGATACTGAAGTATCAGCTCTCAAAAGGTTGAGAGAAAACTCTGTGTGTGTGTGTGTGTGTGTGTGTGTGTGTTTTGAGGGGAGCAGATGATAGAGCAGATGGAGCAACGTGTTAACCATGGATGAGGCTGGGTGAGGGGTGCTGTTCTTGCACTTTTTCACTAAGTTTAAAATGATTTCCAAATTAAAAATTTAAAAAACAACACTAACCTTGACCATCAGGGCTATGCTGTCCCAAGGCCACAGTACCTTGTCCAGGCTGCAGGGACCTAGGGACCAAGAGCCCAGGGTAATGAGGTGTGAAAACGCTCCTGAGTTGGCTGTTTCCTGGGCATTTAGAAGGCTGCACAGATGTCTGCTCTTTAATCTGGGTAGCCACCTGGTTATCGGCTCTGACTGCTGAAGGACAGACTTATGGTCTGGTACTGCCTGGGCCACAGATGTCAACAGTAATAATCTTCATGGTACTCTATAGTTGAAAAACACATACATTCCTTTTAGAGGCAGGTATTCTTATCTTATTAGCTTCATTTTACAGATCAAGCAGTGGAGGCTGGGGGAGGGACAGGGGTTAAAAGATCTAACTGATGCCAGAGCATCAGTAGGGGAGCTGGAACTTAGAACCTGAGTCATCTTGGCTCCACATTTGTGCACTGTTTCTACCACGGTGTCTTCTGACTCCCATCGCCACTCCCTCTATACTGAATCCTCCCCCCAGATTGGTTTTCTGTACTTTCCCTGACGACCCTTTGGGCCTCCTTCAGAAAGTCTCCTGCAGGATAGATGAGTGATGGGTGGATTGGATGGTCCCTAGGCAGGACAGGGGGCAGGTCCCTGGTGCTCTGGGAGAGTGCCCCCCCCCCCCTCCCGTACCATGTCAGCTGACCACAGCTTAGGGGTTGATGAGCCTCTTAAGCCTGCTTAGAGCCGGGCCGTCTCTTTCAGCTTCTGCCAGAAGAGTGTTTCCAGCGTCACGGCCAGTCTTCTCAGGGTTTCTCAGGGGCTTTTTCTGCCAAGGTTGAGCCCTCACCCTCTCGAGGTCTGACAGCTTGGAGTTAGCATGCAGTCTCTCTTAGAGGCTGCTGGCTGCCTCTTGTGCTTACCTGAACTGTCAGCAGTGCAGGTGGGGTGCGGTGCGCTCAGGGGTGGAGGAGGCAGAGGGCCCATTCAAGCCTTCTACCCAGGCCCCTGGCTGCACAACCTCCAGTGTTCTCTCCCCCTGGGTAAAGTGGGAGGTGAGACAGTCTCCTTCCCAGGAGGAGTAGAGCCAGAGCAACATTGTAGGTTAGTGCAGTCACCTTTGCAATGATCATATCCTCTTTACTTACAAACTGTGTTGTCTGTGGATGTCCACAGATGGAACCAGTGGGCCACCTTGAAGAATGGTGAACACCTTATTGGAGGGGCAGTTAAATGAGAGGCTTTTGTTCCAGGATTCATCTGTTGGGTCACCAGACTCTGATGAAGCATGTGCTATATTCCAGTTTCCACACTGGGTGCTGTGAAGAGAAATAGCTAACATCATCTCTGCCCTTCAGCCGTGCCCAGTCCAGGAGGAGAGAGGGACACTAGACAATTTCAGTATAGGTGACTGGGGGTGGGGCCCTGAGGACAGGCCCTAGGGAGCTTCAGAGGTTGAATGGGAGAAAGGCCAGGCAGCCATGGGGCAGAGCAATGGGCAGCCCAAGGCAAGAGAGGCCATTGGAGGAAATTAGGAACTAGAGGCTGTGGGCGAAGGTAAAGTATGTGTGTGCTTGTCTGTGTCTTGAAGAGCCTGGTGCTGAGTTGAGGCATAGGGATTGGTTCTGGATAATACTCTTCACTAGTAGCTGGGCTTCAGGAGAGTGGTGTAATTGGAGATATTGTCCTAGGGGTTCCCCGACTCCCGTGTCTGAGGGGTGATGCTGCTTGGGGGTTATAAAACATGAATTCTAGAGTCTGAGTACCAGGGTTGAGGTCTTGGCTTTGCAGCCGGCTTAGACAGGTCACTTAAGCCTCTGTCTTCAGAGGTTTCTTCATCTGTAGAATGGGGACAACGACTGTACTGTTGACTTAAGGATAGTGCCTGGCAAATCGCACTTGCTGTGCAAGAATTAACTATTATTATTCCTACTCCTAGAAAGGAAGCCTGTTTCTGTGGTGAAGTGTGGCACAGCTGTGGCAGAGAGCTGTGGTTCATTGTTTTTGGGGAAATCTCCTAAGATAAGGCTAGCAGGAGAGAGAAGTGTGTTTTCTTGTTGAGACTTGTCTTCAAAAAGAAGCTGAGCACTAAATCGTTGGTGCCTAAATATGAAAGAAATGATTCTTCATCTTTGAAGCCCTGTGTGGATGTGTCCAACTAGTGAGAAAATGAATAGGTGTCTTGGGCTTATGATCAACACATTTTCCAAATGGGCAGTTTTGATCTATTCTTCTTTCATCCTCCAGCCCCACCTCCTGGTGAGACGGTTCCGTGGTGTTCGTATTAGTGTTTGCATTGCCTGGCAAGACATCTAGCTTTTTCTTTGGAGGTAATGAACCCTGGTACCTATGCTAGAGCACTTGACGAAGGAGTAGTGAGGCAGACACGAAGTAGTGACTGTTCTGAAATGCTGAGTCAAAACTTTCAGGGGTTGGGACAGGGAATCAGCATTATTACAAGTTCCACGAGTGATTCTATGGACATGGGAAGTGAAAACATCTCAGAGCTTCAGCTTCCCCACAATAATGATATTGTGCGATAATACTGATGCTACTTTCCTTCCTGGTGTTGTTGAGAATTTATTGAGAATCTGATATGGTGGCCTGTCTGCAGCTCCTTTCGGCACATGGTAGGTGCTCAGGCATTTGCGAGCCTTTTCATTTACAGGAGGCCCTCTGTTGGAACTGATTGGATGAAGCAGTGGGAAGGGCCTTGAGAAAGTGTCAGTAGGCACTGCTGTCCGTTAATGCCCACCCTGTTAGCCAGAGTAGATCCCGGGCCCCTGGTGGGCCTCTGGTTTCCCCCATGGAGGTTGGGAATGTGCTGCTGTTCCCTCTGCCCGGATGATGCTGGCAGTCCTAGAGGTAGGTGGTAAGGCTGGTCTTGTGGGTGACCACTTTGTAGGGACTACCATCTGCTTAGGTCTCAGAACCCCATGACCACTTAGAGATCCTTCTGAGGGCAGAGGAAGGCCTGGAGTAAGGGGTGTGTTGTTCTGAGTGATTGACATTGCAAGCCAGAGCCGGCAAGGAGGCTGCAATTAAATTGAGAAATTGGAATGTTACCCTGCGTGGGAGAATAGATGCTCCAGCAGACAGTGGTGATGATGAGGAAGTTGTAGAGGTGTCTGGTGTTGCAGTCTTCCCTGAGCTGGTCCTGGGGGAGATGGAGCAGGGACAGGATGGTGACTCAGTGCCGGGAATAGCTCACCAGCATCCTGGGAACAGTGTCAGGCACAGAGCCAATCCTCAGCCAAATTGGTGTGGGTTAGTTTATCTGACATTTGGCATAACCTTTTTGACACTGGCCGAAGTACAAAGAGAGAGTTGATTGGCGCTGAGAGCAAATTGAGGTTGTAAGTTGACCGCAAAGTCTGTGGTCAGGGTTCCTACCAGGGGAAAAGGTTTTCTTCCTTGCTCATGAAATTGTTGGGAGAGATTTTTTTTTTTCTCAACACATTCTGACCTGGGCATTTAAAGAAATAGATGAATGCTGTGAGGCTAAATATCTATAATCACTGCACCCATTAATGCATTTCTAAATGGAATTGGTGGTACCTGAAATTACATCCATTTACCAAGGCTTGAATAATTACATTTTTTTAGCCCCGGTGTGTGGGTGGGAGCTGGAGAGTGCTCAGTTGGCTTCTCTCAGCCCTCTTCACCTGAAAATGCATAGATGTGTTTGTGTGTTTGGTACCAGATGGTTTATAAAACTCAGTGGGGGTATTAATTCTTTGGGGGAGAGGAAAGTAATTGGCTTCCTATTCTGTGAATAGATAGATATTTAAATTAGAACCCAAAGAACACGCTTTTTATTTCAAAAGCTCCATGTGTCTGAGGAGCCCAGTGATTTAAGATGTAATAACTGTGTTGTGTGATGATCTTGCTGGGCCTTTTGAGGCTGCTCCTTGAAGCTGGGAGGACTGGTTGGTGCTGATTATCTTCTTGAGTCCCTGGAAAGGTTTGAGAATTTGCTTTTTTCTTTAAGGTCTGTATTGGATTTGGCTTGGTTTTGGGGTTCAGTAAAGTGAGCGCTAGGGCAGAGGGACTGTCACACTGAGAAGCCCAGTTGCTTTTGTTGCGTCTATATTTGCTTGTTTTACAAATGTTTATCTAGTGCTCACCATATGCACTGTTTTAAGGGCTTAACAGACAGGGGTTCATTTAATACTACTACCAATCCTAAGAGGTAGGTACTTATCTGATTCTCATTTTTACATACGAGGAAGATGAGGCATAGGCAAATTAGGGAGCTTGCAGTACAGGTGTAAGGTGGCAGGGCAGGGATCATCCCCAGCTGTCCTTAATTGGGGGGTCCTCCCATGGTCCCTTTAAGCCCTGCTTGGCCTGTTTCACCATGCTCCATGGTAGATAGGGAAACTATAGGGTTGTGATTGAGCACACAGGCACAGGTTTGGCAGCCCAACTTTGTGGCTGTGGAACTCAGGCGAGTCGTTTAACCTCTGAACAAAATGGGGCAAATGCTGGTATCTGCCCCATGGGTCTTTTGTAGTGGTTAAATGAGAGTAATACAGACATTCCCTGACTTACAGTAGTTCAACTTATGATTTTTTGACATTCCCATTATGGGAAAGAGATTGCATATCATAGATAGACACCATACTTTGAATTTTGAGTTTTGCTCTTTTCCCAGACTAGCAATAGGTGTTGTGACACTGGCAATGCTGGGCAGCAGCAGTGAACACAGCTCCCAGTCAGCCATGAGATCATGAGGGTAAGCTTTGCGCAGTGGCAGTATCGTAGCCAATGAGGTTTATCCGAGGCGCGATTATTGCTAATTGAGATCATGAGGGTAAACAACTGATAGACTTACAACCATTCTGTACTCATACAATTATTGTGGGTTTTTTTTTCCTTTCGGTACAGTATCCAATATATTACATGAGATTTCCAACATTTTATTATAGGCTTTGTGTCAGATGATTTTGCCCAATTGTAGGCTCACCTAAGTGTTCTGAGTACATGTAAGGTAGGCTCCCTAAGTTATGGCATTGGATAGGTGAGGTATATTTTTGTTTTTTGAAGAATTTGTTTATTTATTCATAAGAGACACACACAGAGAGGCAGAGACATAGGTGGAGGGAGAAGCGGGCTACATGCAGGGAGCCCAATGTGGGACTTGATCCCAGGATCCAGGAATCACGCCCTGAGCTAGAGGCAGACCCTCAGCCACTGAGCCACCCAGGCATCTCTGACTTCAATATTTTCAACGTACAATGAGTTTGTCAGGATATAAACCACATTGTAGATTGAGGAAGTATGGACATGTAAAATACTCAGTCCCCAGGGCATAGTATATTTAGTAAATTTTAGCAAATATTTCCATGAATGTTTTTTTTTCCGTAATAGCTGATTGGTCCAAGCATATTTGGGTAATTCCTTGACTTATATCCCACAGCGACTCTTATCTTCTGATATGTACAGAGGGTACTTGTGTATACTGTCCAGCTCAGATTCTCAGTTACGGGCATTTTGTGATACAGGGCATTGAACATCCTGATGCATTTTGCGGAGTGTTAAAAATGTCCAACTGTACTTGCTGTTTTTAACCACAGCTGGATGACCTTGGCTGTTACAGCTGAAAGGGTTAGGCAGTTTGAATATAGTAAACATATCTGACCCAAGCTCTGGCTTGCCTTCCCTGGGTGAGGGGAGAAATAGCTCTGGTGATAATGGAAAAGTAAAGAGGGGAGGCCAGATTCAGTTTAGCATTTGTGTATCCATTTTTGCCGTGTACTGGCACCATATTTGTTGCACTCTGTGGAATATCAGGGAGCCCAGGGATCCGGTGAAGCAAGATGTCTGCACAGCTGCAGGTGATAGGATGGTCAAATGGTGTGTGACCAAGTGGTAGGTAAGTATAATAGGTGCAGCACGGAGAGGAATGTCCAGGAGGAAACAATTCAGGGGTTGGAGGAGTCAGGGAAGACTTGGGGGCTTTATGAGTTGGGATTGAGTGGGGACAAGACATGGAGCAGATGTTTCAGAGGGACTAGCATTCATTATTCAGGGGTCTCTTCATTTAGCAGACTTTACCTGAGCACCCTGTATGTACCAAGCATTGTCCTGGGCACTGGATAGCAAAATGAGTAGGGCAGAGTGGAGAACATAATACTGAGAGGCAGAATGACCCAGTGTCGGGAGCATGGTGTGGCACAGGATTGCCTGGGTTTGAATCCCTGCCCTGCCACTTACTAGCTTATGAATTCTGAGGTTAGATAATCTGGAGCATCGGTTTCCTCATCTGTAAGATGGAGCTAATAATAGTTGTGCCAGAGATGAAATGAGTTCATATAAAGTACTCAGAATAGCCTTGAATACATCCTGTGTGTTGGTCATTATTATCTCTAGAAGGTGACCTCCACGAGGGCAGGATTTTCTCTCTCTTTTGTGTTCCCTGCTAGGTTGCTGGCTCCCAGAAGGTATTTGGTACATAGTAAGCACTCAGTTAGTGAATCAAAGTGCCATGGCTGTCCTTCAGGACCCTGGGAGCCTGATCTCCGGTGGGGACACAGACAAGGAACAACTAGATGATACTGTGCGAATGATTTGATAAGGAGAGCTTGGGGATTGGAAGGGCACAGAGGAGAGCTGGCCAGGGATGGCGCTCTGGTGGGCGATGGGAGGCTGAACTGTATCTTGAAAAGCAGGGATTTGTTGGATGACAAGAGGAAATTTGACTTTTCAAGGGAGGGGGAGCAGCCTGGGCAGACATGTAAGAACAAGACACTTTCAAGATGTTGTGAGAAGAGGAAGGAGGTGCAGAAAAGCGCTGCTCAGAGGAGCTGGGGCTCGGTTCTGGGAGCAGTGCAGATCCAGGGCATGAGGAGGGGTGTGGCCAGGGTTGTGGGGGAGGAGGAGAGGATATACTGAGGTGCTGGGCAGCTGCAGGGCTGGAACCTGATGAGGGATCCCACCCAGCAGGTGAGGGGTTGGCCTCTAAAGGAGGAGAAGCTGGGTAACCCATACCGCTGCTTGGCAGCACTCCTGCCTTAAAATAGAAAGAGATGGAGATAAAGAGTGGGTGGTGTGAGTGTCCAAGGGGTGACCTAGTTAAAACCTGACCCCCTGGAAGGGCAAGAGCCGTCCTCACTGTCGCCCTGCTTACCTGGTCTCTCCTCGGCTCTGGGCGATGCACACAAGTCCTGTGGCAGGTGACCTTGGCCCCTACCCTGGTAACAGGAAGTCTGGTTTCCAGGCTGTGTACTCAGTGCCTCTAGGGGAAAGGGGGTGTGTGAATAAGGGAGAGGCTGGGGGGGTGGGGGGAGAAGTCAAGTTAATGGAACCTATGTGTTTAGCAATTCCAATTGAAGGAGATTTTGAGGAAAAACTCTTTATATTTAGGTATCAGTTCCCCACCGAGTATCCTAATTCCTTAAGGACTTAATTATCGACAGATAGTAACACCCTTCCCCTCCCTTGTTACCCCACCCTGGCTTCTGACTTCCTTAAATACCCCCAGAGATAGTAGGGAAGAGTAAAAGTGGAGGCTTTCACTTTCTCAGGCCCTCTCCCTCATCTTTCTTTGGACTGTCTGATTTCTCTGAGGCCTTCAGGAATTATTTCTATAGCTGGTCATTTCCATGCAGGATCTGCCAAAGGTCCTTATGCAGGACTTTATAAACTTTACCTGGGGTTGTGAGTCTGACACACTGTGAAGATGGCATGTACAGGCGTGTGAAGTGGAGTCCTCTGACCATTGTGCCTGGGGATGTTTTTCTGGCTTGCAATCTAGTGTTGGCGGGGGGTGCCCTGTGCTTGTTTCTATAATCCCTATCCACCACGTATTCAGCACCTACTGTGTGCTTGCTAGGCCTTCACGATGGCTCTGTGAATCTGGTGTCACCAGCAGGGAGAGCCCCTGGGAATGAGAGAGCAGAAGCTACCACAGAGGACCCAGGGGTGATGATTGTTTCTAGTGAGCTCGAGCCGTGTTTAAGAGGGCCAGGAAGTTTTGCTATGTCTGTGGGAATGGGCTCCTGGTACTGGGCCTGACAGGGGGGAAGAGTGTAAGCTGAGTGTAATGCCTTGGCTTCCTCTCATAGTGGGCAGGTGGGAAGGGTGGACAGAGTTGGTGATGGCATAGAAGAGATTCAATAGGATCAGCTCAAATAGGGCCACCTGGGTGGCTCAGTGGTTGAGTATCTGCCTTTGGCTCAGGTCCTGATCCTGCATCAGGCTCCCCACAAGGAGCCTGCTTCTCCCTCTGCTTGTGTCTCTGTCCCTCATGAATAAATAAATAAAATCTTTAAAAAAAAATATCAGGGATCCCTGGGTGGCTCAGCGGTTTGGCACCTGCGTTCAGCCCAGGGCGTGATCCTGGAGTCCCAGGGTGTGATCCTGGAGTCCCAGGGTCGAGTTCCACATCAGGCTCCCTGCATGGAGCCTGCTTCTCCCTCTGCCTGTGTCTCTGCCTCTCTCTCTCTCTCATGAATAAATAAATAAAATCTTTAAAAAACTAAAAATAAATTTAAAAATATCAGATCAAACATCACCACATTTTTCACACATCATTTGCTTTAACCTTCATGGTATCCCTAAAAGGTGTTCTTCCTCCCATTTTATAGATGAGGATGCAGAGGCCCAGGGAAATTATACATCCAAGGTCACACACATAGGAGTGGTTGGTGTATTCTGATTCACTTGTAGGCCACCTCAGGTAGTATGTTAAGATTCTCAATTGCACATGTGGCTCTGAGACCCAGGCTCAAATGACTTACCCAGAGTCTCACAGTGGAAGGTAGTGGCACTAGGCCTGGGACTCAGATCATCGAGCTCCCTCACTGGCTTCCTTGTAAAGGAGCTCTTCCACCTTTCAAAGGCAGGAGCAGTTTGCCCATGAGCCACCCAACCCTTCAGAGGTGGGGGGAGAAGAATGGTGAGTCCTGCAGGGAGAGGCCCCTCCTGCCTTCTGCTCTCTCTTCACACCCAAACCCAGAGTCACATGGCTTCCTGCCTGCAGCTCTGCAGTGATGCACTTTACACGCTTGTATGTCTGGCTGGGGCTCTGGAGACCAAATTCAGCTTGTCTTTTGGTTTACTCAGTACAAGCAGCCAGTAATGCCCAGGACTACTTGGCATCAGGCACGTTTCCAGGGAACTTTTAAAACCCTGCCATCTCTCCTTTGAAATATATCTGGAATCAGATTGTACCTATGACCTGCCACCATCTTAGCTCACGCTATTGTCATCTGTTGGCCGGACTGTTGCAATACCCTCCTAACTAGTCCCTGAGCTTCTCTTCCCCTCCCCCAGGACAACAGCTGGAGATTGTTCTACAGTGGAATTTGGATTATGTCACCTCTCTCAAACCACCTAAGGGCTCCCATCTCACACACAGCAGAATCCTAGGTCCTCATAGCAGCCCTTGAGGCTCTGTGTCATATGTTCCCACCCCCGTTACCCCTCCGACCTCATTTCTTCTCTCCCTGCCTGCCGCTCTGCTCTAGCCATGTTGGCCTCCTTGCCGTTCTTCCAACACGTGAACACAACAAGCCTTTGGGCCTTTGCACTCACTGTGCTCTTTATCTGGAATGGCCCACTGCTTCCTCACTTACTTCAGGTCTCTGCTCACATGTCACCTTTTTAGGGTGGCCTTTCCGGACTCCTCTCCCCTGGCACTTTCTCCTCCTTTAACTTTCCTCTCTTTTTCTTTAGAGTTCTCAGCCAATCCAGATACAGTAGGCTTTATTTTTATTTTTATTTATTTTATATTATTTTAAAAAAGATTTTATTTATTCATGAGAGACACACAGAGAGAGGTAGAGGAGACATAGGCAGAAAGAGAAGCAGACTCCACGCAGGGAGCCTGATGTGGGACTCGATCCGGGAGCCAAAGGCAGATGCTCAAGC